ACGCGACATTTTGAAATCTTATTTACACATTTCATTTCATCGTCGAAAGTTTCTATTAGTTTATGTAAAAAAATAATAATACGTGTGTAATGTTTTAAAATAAGCTACTAGACGGACATTAAAATAAAAATTGGTCATCTACCCTATTATAAACCGTTCAATTTAAGAAGTATGCGTCTTAAAGAAGTTTCTCTTAATTTCCTGTTAAGGGCGGATTTTTCGTGGTACTTTCTCTTTCAACCGGTATATATGACGTAAACCCGATCCATGTGTAACAAGGCCATACTTTCGATTATTTTTTATTAGTGATGGCCAACTTGACATGGCATTTATGCCAACCTGTTCTTTTTATGGCCTATGTGTATATTTTTTTGGTATGTTAATAATCTGTAAGTATTATGATAAATGGTGTTATCTATCGAGACATTTTACATGACAAGACCACCTATTAAAGAAAGTGGTTTACAAGCAAATCAACGATACTCTAATCGTATTCAATTATTACATTTGTAACTTTGTCACAAAATAATAGAGTTAAAATTACATTGACTGACTGGCGTCTTTACCTACTGCAAAGGGAAAATAAACGGACTGGACTTCAGTCGCTAGTGGCGCCACTTGGGTAATAATGATAATAATATGTTTCGAACTAATTATCCTAAAATATAATCTTCTTCTATTTCTTATCTTTTGATAAATACTTTTATGAAACACTGCCGTTCGTTGGCCGAATGGTTGCAAGTACGACTGCTGGGCAAGGAGTCTCGGGTTTGATTCCCAAGTCGGGCAAAATATCTCTAGGTTTTTAAAAAACTCTCAGTAGGAGCACGGAGTCTGGAATTGTGCCCGGTGAGCCTCATAAATTAAATAGTGAAAAGAGAGTGTTACACTATACAGAGCTTTAAGTACTGTAATGTACACCTCTGTCTACACCTTCGGGGATAAAAGGCGTAATGTTATTGTGATGATGATAATGATGATGATGATAATGAAACAGTGGTATTTATGATGTATACTTTAAATTTTATCCTCATAGTGACCTTTTTAAAAAGAAAATAGGAAACTTATAAAGACAATATTTATTATGCGGTATAAAAACATTTCCGTTGAACTAAAGAATGGCCATGGGAAAACTTTTTGTTGAATATGCATGTATATACAACATATCTATATATACATAGTTAGTAGGTTAATTATATAGTCAAGTCCACACAAGCTGAGGTATAGCACGCACTGCATTGATATGCAAACATCGCTTCATTAGTTTGTGTACTAAAACACGCTTGTTTCAAGTATTTATGGGTGGGCATAGTTTGAAAGTTGGTTTCAAAATTATCGCTCTCTTCTTAATGGTAAAAAATATAGATTAATTATTAAGTTTATGTCTTACTTACACAAAACAAGGTTTGACAAGGTAATTGATTTTTCAAGCCATGCTAGAGACTCATAATTATACATGTCACGGAGAACCTAACGGGTTACCAGGGCTCCAGCTCGACGTGCAGGAGAAGGAACGGGGTGATATGATATAAACAACGTGTGGATTATAATGAGTCTGTAACTTATAGCTTAACATACATTCTCAATATCAGAAACTTCCCTAATAAGTATGGCGTCATCAAAGAAGTATGGTATCTTTACTATTGCGGTCTGACTTTACCTGGGTGCAAACTTTCGATTTTCATAAGGATATTACTTGTTTAAATTAACGCAATCAGAATTAGTGAAGTTAGTTTAGTTATTCCCGAGTTTTGGTTTGTCTATATTTATTTCGAGTTTAATTATAGTCAAGCAATTTAATTATAATATATTGAGGTATTAGATACACCATTTCGAATATATAGATCTGTGAGGTCTACTATCACTTATGAATTCATTTTAAAAATAGAACAAGTTTTACTTTTTTCGTAACCCGTCGATGTAGGGTTCAGAAATCGAACACATCTATAAATAAAGCCGAAGATACCGATATCTTCCGGATGGTTTGACAATGTCACACGCATTAACACACTTTTACCGACTTCGACGCAATGAAATATGATTCGGTAAGCCACGTGCGTGATTTTTAGTTATTTGTTTTTTGTTTCTCTTCTATACCTGACAAAATATTTATCTCGATTCGATTATTTTGGGTAGCCTTTGAAAGTCAATACTTTCAGTTTATTGTTCAAAAAATGTATTACAATTGTGACTTTTGTTAAAATTTCCATCACTAATCGATTGCCACAAATATTTTGCACATGTAACAACCAGCCAAATCTCTAATTATCAATGTTTATATTGATAAAATTAATTTTAGCATAATTGGTCTATTAACAAGCAAGATGAAAATGTTACAGATGCGAGTTATGATAATTATCTTGTTCTTACAATTCCTGTTCACTAAAATTTCAACTCGGTTAAGTCCTAACTAACATCTACTTACTTATAAAGAATATCTCAGCGAGAGCCTCTTAGCAAAGTGGGCCACCCATGTCGAAGTAATGAACGACATAAATGAGTATTTGCGCTTTCCTATAACATAAACAATAGGAGAAAATTAACACAGAATTTTAATGTATTAGAAAATCAATAAATATTCATATTTTACAACCCTATCCGCTTACTGACTGCACTATTGTTTGCAAATTTTATTCTAAAATAAGCTTTGACCAATAGAACAGAAGGTCTCAATTTCAAAGGAGCAATATATCGTTAGGTTTTTAAGTAACTCAATATCGAACAAAATGACGATGTTTTTATAATAACTGTGTGCGACATACTAAAGTAACTAAAATTCGCGGGTTACTCACGTGAATATACTGAGAAAAGCTTTACTAGTTTAGTTACAATGACGATGTATCTTTTTGTTTCTTATACGCTATTTATAAATACTAGCAGCTGCCACAGAGGTGATCAAGTAGTGGTGACTTAAATACGATTCCCAAGCCACGAGTATCCTTGGCAAGCGATTTTGCGGTCGATGATGATGAGAGGATTCAGGCTCATAAGGCTGGCTGAGACTAGTGATAAAAATAAAATCAAATACCTATGTCTGCAAATCCAAGTTATTCATTAGCAGAATTCAAATAAACAAATGATGCTAGCCTTTCTACACTGTGACACAATGCTTGGCCGCTTGTTTTGGTTCCGGTGAAAACTGTAGCTAATGTCATTATAAATATTAGTCACCATCACATAAGTGGTATAAGTGGTGATGCTAATTTGATCATACTAAAAGGTAATGAGTAAGAGGCCAATGATGCCAAAGATGGTGATATTGGACCACCTGTTCTGTAAAAATTGCAAGATGCTATTTTTGAGAAGGATGTTAGCCTAAAGTCATTATATGCATGTAATTATGACAAATGCTAAGGAGAATGGAAACACGATTTTAGTTATTGAGATTCAATAGTTCATTAAAGAGGAAGATATAATGAAACTATTTGTGTATAAGTAAAGTTTGTTATAAGAGATAGGTAACAAGGAAACCGGAATGTTTAACTTTAAGAGCTGGCATAATGTTATCTATCAAAACAATCATACTAGAATTTAAATCAAGAGAAGAGTTAAAAAATATGCAACAAACTGTTGAAAGTAGAACACTTGCACATGAAATTAAAAAGACTAAAGATTTTTAACGTAAGATGACTAAGAATGCGAAAGAAAGTTGCTTCGATAGAGAAACTAAATCATAATTGTATGTACCCAATGAGGTATAGCGTGAAGTTATGTTGAATTTCCAGATGAACGAATCTTTGTTATTGTGCTCACTTTTTGTAAACTGGAAGTGGCAGTAATTGACTTAATTCGTCAGTATATGCGTTAATGAAATTATTTATGGCTTCTCCATTATTTCTTGGATCTTTGATGGATTGTATCTGTTATATTGTAAGTGATAGCATTTTAATTAGCTCAGGAACAACTAGATGATAATTATTATTGATTACTTTTTAAATATTGATGCTTTTTAGTGCCTAGTTGACCAGGTGATTGCAAAAGATTCGTGTAAATGTAGTTCCTGTTTAGAATTCTAGATTGTGTAAAGTCCATTCCAATTCAGTGCAATAAATATATCCGGAGAATGATAATTGTGGTCGTTGAAAGGACAACACTCACAGATCGTTCTGATATCGACATGATGTTCTTGTATTGAGGAATATTTTTCGTTGCAGAAGGTAGAGGCTAAAAGTATTCATTTCATATTTATTCGTGATTAATAATAGAGGCGAGTAAAGTCTATTCCCAAATACTGTGCTAGATATAAAACTCAGTACTATTAATGGAAATATCGAAATCACAACTAGGTGCTTATGGTTAGCATTCAACCTTAAACTTGTTTGACCATCGAATCAGTAAACATCGCATATGAGGGAATCGTAGAAAATCTTCCATCTTCGAATTGACCCGGTTCTTAAATACATAAGCAAGGTCACAAACTTCCGATTGATAAACAAATAGAAAGTGATGATGACATAGCTTTAAATGACTATCAACACTTTCTTCATAAAACCAATATGACGCATGGTGGATGTCACGAATGTGGTAAGATACTTCTTGAGCTGGATTTGGAGTTTCATGGTGATCCGAGTGAAGAAGTCTAAAGGATTTGACTGTGTTATATATATACTTATTTGTTAATTAAACTGTCAAACACCAAGCGGTCACCGGTGACCGCAACCTATTGTTCTATAATTGTGTCTACAAAACCGGTACTCGACGAGTTAATTGAAGGATGCCAAGGAATGTGGATGATAACGTAGTAGACTGTGCAAAGGTCTAATATGATGGTGATCATGAGTTTGATATTGATAGAATTGAACATGAATATAATACAAAAAATGACACAGATACAGCTAGTAAATTCTCCACATAACCACCAAACTCTGACATTAAACTAAAAGAAACCGTTTCGCGAGTTTTTATCAAACTTTCGAATAAAAACAAACAGGAAAAACCGGTAGATCTAAATAAAGTAAAAAGCAAAATTAAAGTAATTAAAGAAAAAAATGCTAATTTACCTGAGTCCCATAATTATGAATCCGTAACACAAAACAATCACGTTTACGTTAATGTTTACGTTCGTAAACAGGTCATATGTACTAGAAAAGCGCGCGAACCGGCGGCTATCGCTTGGCTTACTAAATTCATCTCGGCTGAACGGCGAGTGGGAGAAATTGGTGGGTCTCTTTCGCACTGCTTTATAGTGATGGGTGGAGTTATCGATGTGCGAAAACTTTCGATAGTGTTCGTGAGAAAAGTGTGGATGTAGTAGTAACAAAATGATTATATTTCTTTGTTATTTTATATCCAAACAGAAAATGCTACAGACGAAATAAAGAAAAGATCTAAATAAATATTAAGACTTATTGTACTAACTTTAAAAAATATATATCATTCAACAACGTTAATTAATCAATTTAATATGAAACTCATAAAACACAATAAATAACAGACAAATCTACAAAACCCATTGACATTAAATAAATAAACTATCTTTTTACAAAAACATCAACAAAATAAAAATATATATATAGGAAAAAACATTGCAATTAATCACAATCATCGACAAGAAGTACAGGTACAACACTACAAATGTCAAACCAGGTCCCAAGAGCAAGGTGAAGATCTGGGTCTTTGACCGTATGCAGTGGCCGATTGCAAACGACGGGTCCCACCGTGCGTTAATCTAAGGTTGAGATATAAACTGCTGATATCGTGTTATGAATGAAATAAGTCCTGAAGATTAAAATAGTAGCCTTGTGTCATCTGACATTTCTTGAGGCACTAAGTCCGTCTTTGTATAGTTTGAAGTGCACGAAAAGTATAGTTTAAATAAAATTTTGATTGAATGCTGTACATGTGTGTAGTGTGCAGTTGAAACTTAAAAGTTCGCATAATACAACAAACAGGTAATTTTTTTTAGCCATAGGTTAAGGCCATAAATTAATAATTTATTTTCTTAGGTCACGCTGCTAACAAAATATGTAATTAGATGAAACAACAGTGAAATTCTAGCAATAAACACTCATAGCTTTTTACCGTAAAATAGTAACAATATTAATTAACACACTAATAGCCTTTTACCGTAAAATATTAAGAATATTCCATCGGTAAGTAAAATCCTTCTGTCCAAGATTGAACTATGATAACTAACTACAGTTAAACAAGGTGCCATCGACCCGTTTGCTTTCGAAAGCGACAGCCACGTTAGGTGCCGACGCGACTTAATCATTCATTGAATGAATACAAATTAGTACCAACTTAATACAAATTGTATTACATTTGCCACATTGTCTGTTAATAGGAATGTCTCTTTGTAACCTTATTGACAGACTGACTATATTGACACCATGACATGCTTTGATAATAGGAATACTGATAAAAAGTGGAATTCTTTGCCAGAGTCTATTTCCTGAAGGGTATAACCAAAGGGTAAGTATCAAACAAAACACCCTTTCTCTCTCCTACCAATTTTAAATGTTGGTGTGCCCGACATGGTCCATTATTGTTACTATTGTAGAGGTATAATCTAACCACCTGTATTGTACATTATGGATGCGATAAATACTTGATTACTTAGGTTGCTTTTGGGTTGACGTGCTCCATCGTAGTAAAGCAATAGTAGTAGCAGATTCAAGAAGGTTTACATGAAAAATTTTAATATTTTTAAACAACAGTTTTTGGCTATCACTTCTGCAATAACCCCACGGAATCTGGGATGTTGTGAAGCGTTTTTATTTAACTCCAACGTGGGAAATCCTCATGGAGCTCCCTTGCCTAGGGTGGACGAAAGAGTCTAACATAATTAATCATTAGAGGAACAAAATTAATAATAGGTTTTCTGTTTGAGTAAAACATGGTGTTAGTTACCATTCTCATCTCGGTATTTATTACTTATTTATTTATCATATAATCCATAGCTCTTATCCATTACACAGCGTTTATAATCCATTCTCACAGCCAATTACATTATCTCAGCATTACCCAAAATTCGACTGATAAAAAATGTTCAAGTCTTTCAATCCATCTGAAAAATATATTATTTGTGTTAACTTCAATTCCACAATGCAAATAAATTCAACCAAAAATCTTACCCAAATAACAAAAGAAAATCTGTCCAAAACCAAAAATTAAACGTAGCCCAAAAATTGGTTCTTTACATTGAACCTAATTATAAATGTTACTAGAATAGGATTACCCGCACTCCGAATTAAAGTCCCATTGAAGTGGGGCTGGAAACCAGAGCGTGTCTGCTCACAGATGTACAACTAAAGGTCGCGCTCAATGCTCATTATGGTGTCTGAGTCTCGACACTGATGGTATATCATTAGGTGTTTCTGATTCGACAGGTGACTGAATACTGTTCTGAATGAAACTGAATCCATTTTTGGTTTAGTACATGTGTGGGCACTTTCATTCTCGTTTAAAAAAATTATGGTCAGTAGTGAAAACCTAACGGGTAACCGGGGCTCCGGCTCGACGTGCAGGAGAAGGAACGGGGTGGTTTTTAGTCAGTAATAGTCTGACACTCCCTCCCGCCTCACCCAGGCGGGAGCTGCAATTAGATGATTTTCCTACCTTAAAAAAAATGGTCAGTAGTTGTTACATCCAATTTTGTTCGATAGTGGACTTCTTTTGACTGATGATAAAGATGATGGTGATAATTAGGTCAATTACAAAAATATTCGTTAGTTTGCAAACGGTGCATTCGTTTGATATGTGGACACACATATGAATGTGGAAACAGATACTTAAACAAGCTGTGTAAAGATTATCCAATAGGTTTGTATGTAACGACAACTTCAAGCTTGTGGGTACTGCTAATGAGTGTAATTCTTCGATAAAGTCTGTATTTCTTTAGGGGTATACCTGGAATCCTGTACCTAGGAGTCTTCAAGGCCCGAGTAAATATGTAGGTTGCTTATGGGACGACGTGCTTCATCTACGATGCATCATCACTTACCACCAGGCGAGATAGTGGTCAAATGTCGGCCCATCAAATATTAAAAAAAAAACAAACATCATGAGATGTGACATGTGAGCAATCGATGTGTATGCTGTTGTTTCCTCTTTTTGCCTATCAGTGCTATCACTCGTTTAATTTAAAAATTTTGTAAATACGTTTAATTTTTATTATTTTATTAATTTGACGTTCCATAGTCTGTGCCGACTCTAATGAGAACTAGGCGTGACGGATATGTATGCATGTGTGTTTTATCAAACCGTGTGTAAAAGTACACACAAAAGTAAAAGGAAGTTATGTTATTTTCGTTTGGATGAAAATTCATCTTATACTATTAACTGATTAATAAAAATCATTTAATTAAAAGAACAAAAAGATTTTCCGATACCGGGAATCGAACCCGAGCCTCCTGGGTGAGAGCCAGGTATCCTAGCCACTAGACCATATCGGATATTATGATGGGAGTCGAAATTAAGGTACTTATGTTAAAATTGAGTAGGTAAGTATTATTAATTTTTATTAATAAATGCCCATTTAAAGAAATAAATATAAATTACTGTTACTGTCCAATCTTGTTTTCGTATCACATAAAGGTTTATAATTAGATAAAGCTTAAAACTGCGCCATCTAGCGGATTTTATAGACATCACAACCATTGAGTGTGACCATTACGGACACAGCGGCAGCGGCACAGTACACTGATACCTAATGTTTTAGTGTACGTGCTAAACTACAGATGGCGCTGTCATCATCAGATGCATTATTATCTTATGTTAACTTCTATTATTTGTTTCAGTTTTTGAATAAGTATTGTTTAAGTTGACTTGGCTGGGACCATTATCGTGCAAGTTAATAAACTGTTTCAGATTTTTCTCAAATAATATTAGTTTTTTGTTTATTGCCCTTATATAGAATATTTTATATTACTCAGTTATATACGAGATGCGAGTAAATAGTTTTATTTATACCAATTCAAAGACATGAAATAATTCAAGGAATTGTTGACTAAAACCATTTATTAGAAATATAAATAAATAATCTTACATTACTAGGTAATACAACATCATCTAAACATCTTCATAAATAATAATTTATCTCATACATTCGCTGCTTTCTTACAAAAATATAAACGACTTAAACTCTGGTTCCACTAAATTGTCCAGTACATAGAATTTCATTAGATAATATAGTCATTCCCAAGGATTCTCATCTATAGTATCATTGACAGTTTCTTTCATCTTATTCATCTTCTTTCTATTCATTCTGCTTTCTACTGCTCCTTCTACTATCTCTCCTTTATTGAAATCTTCTGCAGTTATTATCGGCTTGAATCCTTCATCGACAGTTTTGATCCGATTACTCTGAATTTCTTTCGGTAGTTTTACCTTTTGCTGTCGATAAGGATAGAAAACGTATTTTACACCGTTTACAATTTTGTATTTTGGGTAATTGGTCGATGTTCGTCTATTATTGTTGATGCCTAGAAGCTTATTCATCCAGTATAGATATGAGTTTTGTAACACATCGATGATGCTTCTTTTACGCCTTGATTTAGTCGCTGTCCCATTGTTACCTGTCTTGTCAATGTCTTCGTATAGATTTGTCTTTTTATCAATTTTGTTGTTGTTGTATCTGACTACAGGTGCTACGTAAGTTATGATTGGTTTATTTTCTATGATTTCTTCTTTATCTCCTAAGTCTAGTATGGATCTGCTTTGCCATTGGCCGTTTGCATCATAACCACCTCCTCCGCCGCCACCTCCTCCGTAATCCGGTCCACCTGGATGTTAAAAGGGAATTTTTCATTCTTTGTTTTGTTTGTTGTTATAGTTTGGGTTATACTGGGATAATACCTGCTGGCATCCAGGCTCCGCCGCCGCCACCGCCTGTTGCCCATCCCTGAGGAGTTTAAGATATTCAGTCTGTTTGTGTTTCTAAGTTACCTATAATTTTCTTTTTTTTTTGTGTATAATTTTATTCATTATTACACGGTAATGATCATTGTTCTCTACATTAATGATCTTTGTAAGTTTTCTTGTCGTTCTCAGGCAGTAACCACACAACTTCAGTTTTCATTACATTCATAGATATATTATGTCGTAATACTCAAACGCCACTTAATTTTAAGTCGTACTTAAGTATAGTTCTATCACTACAAATTCTTTGTAAAATGACAGAGAAGTCACAATATTTAAGTACAACTTTAAATTAGCCTTTAAGTGTTCGGGTGATAGTCCCGCAAATATGTCAGTTGCTATTATATTTCTTGCAGGCGTTACTTATTATTTAGGTTTGTTCTTTAGCTATCTTGTTATAGTTTTATACGTTTTGCAAGAAACCATAAGGAATGATTTAGTTTAATATTTATATTGATTTGTAAATTAACTTACTCCATCTCCTCCTCCTCCGCCGCCACCACCACCAGCTCCACCTTTCTTCTCCAGTATTTTCATCAGCAGCATCATCTAAACACATTACATTAGTTTACCACAGAGGTCTGGTTTTCTATCGAAAGGGGCCTACTTTGCCCATTAATCAATCAACTTCTTGTTATTTCACTCTGCATCGATAAATTAATAGTTTAATTATATTACTTGACTTTCATAACTCATAAAATATGTTTTACCTTAGCCAACATAAACGACATCATGCTGAACATCATGCCCTTGAACGACATCATTCCCATCATCCCCATCATTGCTGGCACCATCTGCAAGAGTATACAGTTAATATGTGTGATTGATTGGTTACTATTAATACTTATTACGAAAATCAACATTTGCTACAACAGTAATTTGAGAATTGTGAGTATAGCGTATAATATTTTAACTGGCGTTGAAATGAGGAGAGAATTTTCTCAAAATTAAGTCAACAGTGTTGATTGTCTCATTAGATCAGCTACTATTACTCATTCTGTCTTAAGTCATCAGTTTTATTTGTCACTTTAGATTAGTCTTTGATAGCATTGTCTTTATTACCATTATCAGCAGTCTTACCATCATCAACTTCATCTTCATGCACATCATGGCCATCATCATCATCTTCTTCTTCCCAAACCCATCTCCTCCGTCATGATCATGGCCGCCTCCTCCTCCTCCACCGCCGCCGCCTTTTCTTTTCTTTCTACCGACAAATTCTTCTACTGTAACACAGGTAGGCAAGTTAATGTAATTAATTTTATCATTGTTGGACACAATAGTACCTACAGACGTTGAGCGTTGCGTTTTTTAATTTTCTGGTATTCAGAAGCGACTTTCTTATGATTTACGATTTGTATGTATGGAAATCATTAGTTTTATCATGTCATGAATCTTATTTATAACTTTTCTAACTTGTTTATTTAACTAGGCAATAAAACGTAAGATTATAACATTGCTATAACTATTTTTATCATGAACCTTCGTTATTTCATTAATAGGTAAAGTATTCTGGCTTGACTTTGGTTTCCCCATTTTACTTGATGACATAATAAAATCTTACCATTATTTGGCATCGGTAGAGAAGTTTCCTTGCCCAAAGCATTCACTCGGATGATGTGGTTGTCAAAAAAATGATCAATAGCTTTATCAATCATGTGTGTTAACTCTTCCGAGTTCTTTTCCATGTAGTGGTCATCTTTTTCTTTATTGTCTTCAACTTTAGTTCCATTCAATTTTACTAGAACAATATTTGGACTAACTGTATTGTGATGTTGCTTTGAAATCATTTTGTAGTAAGTTGTTAGAATAAATATTGCTATGTATAAAATATTAGGTGCATGCAAGAAGATTGAAGTTTTTATGAATTCAAATTGCACTTTCAGTTTTATTTTCTTTTTCAAATGATTGGTATGTTAATTTTAAATCAGTGGACTATCTACGACCACAAAGATCTCTAAATTTTTTTTCTATCTTAGGTACACTTAATCTAATCAATTTAGTAATATCACTTACCAAACTTAACGTAATCTCCAATAACAGATACTTCACTCAAATTATTCAACTGTTGCAAATACATTAACGTTTTCCTTTGAACACATGGGAAGGACATGTGAAGAAAACAATCAATGTACACACCATTGAAATTATCATTCGGATCGTTTGCTTCATCTACAGCTTTATCACTATCTATATCAACTTTAATAACTTTTGCATTAATTAGGACAATTAAAATGAGTTCTAAAACAACTGTTTTTAGTTCCATTGTTGGTTGGCAAATGGGAAACTCGGTTATAGGCTCAGATTATTTATTTTCTTTGTTTATAGGATACAGGGTCAAGTGGTGTAGTGTTATTGTGAAAACTTATCATTTTGTTGTTAAATATTTATTTGAATAACGTTGTGGTTTTGAGTTTAGAAAAGCTTCGTATAAAAGTATTTTATTTGCGGTGACTGTTTATTCTGGTGTATCTCAAGATGAAGGTGTTTAGGTTCATGTTTGTTTGGTAGATGTTTTTATAATTGTAAGTGAAGATCAGTTATTGTTGGCAATTGCAAAGATACTAGAATATTGTACAGGTTTTCTTCGTATTTTGTTGAGATTAATAATCTCTGAATTTCCTATATAAAAATAATTGGTGTCAGGACGAGCAACTAGAAATATATCGGTTTTGTTAAAAGTTGGCTCAATATAGAAGGAATAGGAGGTTTCCGTCTTATCAAATATTATAGGTATGAGCAAAAGCTTCGATGCCTGGACAAGGAAAGGTAATAATTAATTTTATTCTGAAAATGAATTGACGTTTTGTTTTATGATGCTTTCTACAGAATAACAAAAAGAAAACGCATACAAAGAAATAGAAAAACGTCATTATACTTGAGTAAAAATATTAAATTGTGCATGAAACGTATGAAGCATCAGTTCTGACGTTAGATCATTAGAAAACACTTTTGTATCATAATCATTACGTTGTTATTACGGTGACGTTGGTAATAGTGAAACTGTAGCACTCTGAATAATGTTTATTCACATATATAAATATTTCGGATTGTTGTGTGTCAGGATATTTCAATCTATTCGATTAGACACTTTGGCAATGCGTAGAGATTTTTTTTTTATGGAATAGGAGGCATACGATCAGACGGATCACCTGATGGTAAGCGATCAGCGCCGCCCATGGACACCCGCAACACCAGAAGAGTCACAGGTGCATTGCCGGCCCTTTAAAAAGGAGTACGCTCTTCTCTTGAAGGTTTGAAGGTCGTAGCGGTTCGAAAATACCGCCGACGACAGATCATTCCACAGTTTTGCTGTGCGAGGCAGGAAGCTACGTGAGAACCGCACAGTTGTGGCCTGCCAACCAAGGCAAGCCAAGATATAGATTTTTCTGCCTCGCACAGCAGAACTGTAGAATGCTCTGTTTTCAGAGGTAGTTTGGAACCTATACCAAGAAAAAAGCGCCAATCGCTTACCCTCAGGTGATCCGTTTGTAGGTTTGCCCTCTATTCCATAAAAAAAACACTGTGTTGTATAGGGACTTATCGTTGAACAGACAGTTTTAATTGTCCTTTTATATAAACATGGCGTCTATGAATAAATAGAAGTGCGTTAAGATTTTGCCTAGTTTTGTTCAAATTTTATATCATTAAGCCGATTACCATAATGAACTTTAATATGGTAACATACTCACTTCGATCTAAACTGTCAAACACCAAGCGGTCACCGGTGACCGCAACCTATTGTTCTATAATTGTGTCTACTAAACCGGTACTCGACGAGTTAAATTCGAAATTTTCAAGCCGATAAACAATTTATTGATTTATTTTCTGAATCAGAAGAATAGCTAATGAATGAAGTTATGCAAAACCACGACAATAAATATGGGTGAAATAAAATCACGAATTTTAGAATGAACAGGTTTTTATTAAACTTTTAGTTGTTAATAAATTAAATGAGCAATGAGGTTTTAAATAATTACGACAAAATATTTATAAAATATCAAGTTATAAACAGTTTACATAAATAAATAATATTTGGTATAACAAAAGCGTAGAAAAGAAGAGTTTCACAATAAAAATAAATATCACAGTTAGGTATACTGCTTTCTAAATTTTGTATAATACATTCGATTAATAAAATAGCAAAATCAATAAATAAACACTAATAAGACATAAGTAATAAAATAAACAAAATAAATAAAATAAAAGGGAAAAAATAAATAAATAGATAAATAAAATATTAAATAGAGATGTTAATAAACGGTGGGAGGAAATAATAATAGAAATTATACACAAATAATAAAAGTTAAATAAATAAGAGATAATGAGAATCTTTAACACGCCTAACAATGAAGCTGCAATAAATTAATTATTTGAAAACAACGATGGAAGACTAAACCTAAAATTATTAAATAAATAAATAATCCTAACACTACATTTTATGATTATGAAATCATTCCAATAAATTAAGCTACAAAATAAATAGTCGCTTCATCTTACTTCATGTTTGATGGTCAAAAGAGTTCAGATATTTATACTACAGACCTTCATAGGAAAGGCCTAACTTTGATAGCCCATTATAACCCTAAACCATCAACATGAAATCAACGATCCTCAAACAAAACTCAAATGCAAATAAGAATCAAAATTCCATGAAACATAACCAAAAACGTCTCAAGCAAATATCCTCAAATTTTATTAATTAACTGGTAGTAGTATCATAAGGCATATAACTATTGTAGTTCATGTCATAGGCTCTTCTATAACCACCATGATGACCATGTTCATGCTCATGGTGTTCCTCGTGGCTATGGGAGTGGTGATGGGAAACTTCAGGCTTAGTGATGATCTCGTATGTGGTGGACTTGTGCTCACCATGACCCTTGAGGCCTACGAGGGCTGATAGTAGAAGAGACATCAGTGCTGTCATTAGAGCCTTGCCAGCTAACAATGCTAGTGCTCCTAACGCTGCTGCTGCTAAGGTACCTGGAATGGGAGACGATGGCATTGTAGTAGATGAAGGTGATTTAAATCTTAAAATAATTAATATTTGTGTCTATACAGTAAGCTAAGCAAAAAGTTATAATATGGGTTTATTTTATGAAAAATTTGGTTGAAAAAGTAAACAATAAATAGAAATTGAGCGTAATTATTTAAATTGGTTCAAAGATGTCGTTACAAAATTATTGATAAACTATAATGTCTTAATATTTTTTTAAATTCAAAATGAACACCATCGTATTTAATGACCTTACTCTACAATAAAATTTCAGCCCTTAATCTCGTCATGAACTCAAAATAAGTTTACTGAACTTCACCAAGATCAATACTTCATAATTAATTACCTTTCATCATCAACGCTGCAGCCAAGAGAGCGCCACCGCCGCCTCCCTTGCCACCTCCAAGTCCACCACCTCCACCGCCAGACTTCCTTCCAACAGACTCCTTATCGCCCTTTGCCATATCCAAAGCCTCCTTCGTGGTCTGAGGATCCAACAGACGGTACCTCAGAGAATGACCATCCAAGTAATCTTGAAGACGATACAAGAGGAATCGGTTCAGCTTCTCCTCTGATTTCCCAGGAAACTGGCGAGACAACTCAGCAGCCATCTCCTCAGGACTAGGAGTGTTCGCTGTCTGATTCTCCTTCACAATGCTCAATCCAGGCAGAAGGTTCAGCTCATCGCGAGAGCTTAAGTCCTCCAAAAAGGACAAAGCATGTATCTTCAAACATTTTGAGTTCAGTAAACTGTTGCACTCCTTATGCAAGGTCCTTCCAACTCGTTCTGTGTTATTTGGCACATTTTTAACAGCATCAATAATTGCGTTTGGATCAGATCCATCGATCGCTCCATGAGAACCAATCACTAAGGTAAGAGTCACTGCAACGGCAATGGATACACTTTTAAGATGCATTTTGATTCACGTTTTCACTGCACTGTCCCTATAAATTATTGACACATTTCCATGGAGGACGGCTGTGGACTGATAGATCTAATCCGATCGCAATTTATTATATACCGTTCATGATGACAAAAAGAACAAGAAAAGCGTTAAAAAGAGCAAAGTCGTTGCTTTTTGAACGTTATTGTGCTCGGGCACTTTCGTTCTGTAAATAAAAGGTTGTTGTAATGGAAAAGTCGAAAGTATTTCGACCATTTTCGGTTTCCAATCGATAATCGGGTGCTGTTAAGATAATTGCATCGCTGATTATTGTTATTGACATTTTATAATTGATTACAGAATTGCAATTTGTGAAAGAAGATCAGTCTGTTGATTTTGAATTCGATAATCGATTACGAGATTATAATTTGAGATTTCTATCTCAACTCTACTTAATTGACGTGCCACCATAATTCGAAAATGCTAATACATACTACAAATGTAAAATATACACAGACAAAAAAAGTTAAGATAGCATCCACACATGAATTCACCCCTTCACCAATTGTGTTACTTGTCAAACACCCAATACTGTCCAGAACTCACACCTAGTCAGTTTATCTAACCTCCAATTTAAATTAAAAAATGTGGAACTTAACTCACAAGAATAAATAAATATGCACGTGTTAGCAAGAATTCCAACACTTAATGACTCAGTAACAAATGTTAAACCTGGGCATCGAACCAACATCTAAAATTCACAAGACTAATAAGACATTTAAATCCATAAGATTAAAGGCAAAAAAGAAAATTGAAGCATCCATAAAAATCTATCGGATGTGCATGACTAAACCGTGAAATTGCATTAAGTTGATGTAACGAAATGCAATATAATGTATTGGAAGAAGTCAAAGTAAAGCTACTAGAATACACTACTTCCTTAAGGTGCAACTGTATATAACAGTAATTTTACTTACAATAGAAGCATATCCATATCCAATGGTAAATTTGGCGTAGCAGCTTTTCCTAACTTCATGTAGTTTTAAATTGCCTGGTCTAAGTACGTCCTTACAGATTGCTAGTCAAAAAGCTGATTGATCCTACTAATATTATAATTGAGAATGTTTGTGTTTGTTATTCATGTAAAACTACTGAAGGGATCGGTATGCAATTTGAAACGTGGGTAGATATTGGTCTGGTATAAAACGTAGGCTACTTTTGATCCCAGGGAAATGAGAGTGAAGCTGCAGCCTGGCAGAAGCTACTCATTCATTAATTAAAAACCGCGGGTTACTCACATGAATATACTGAAATACTTTTCTCAGTATATTCACGCGATTTTTAGTTAATTTAGTATGTCTCACGATAGTTATTATAAAAACACTACTCATCCATATTTGATAATCGTACTTTTGTTAACAGAATTATGATCATAGACTTTTAAACCCACAAAACCTCTTTTTTAACCCATTTCGCATTTATTTTAATATTTTTTAACAAAAGGCTTAAGTGTACTTAAAAGTACACTTAACTTAAAACTATCAATTCAATAAGTGTACTTAAAAGTACACTTATTGAATTGCTAGTTTGATTTCAGAACACTTTTTTTTCTTTTCTTAACGTTTATTCCAAAACTCTAAGTTCCACAGTCATGTCTACAACCACCAGACCAGAGATGTCATCAAAACTTTTACCATTTTAATTTCTTAGACTATTCCCATCACCGATCTCATCAACTATCACCATCATTACGAATACATTTACAATAACAATAGCTATACTAAGTTTATTTTTACCTATTTCTATTGTGTTACCATTTTTTTTTTTTTTTTAAAAAAAAAACGTTGCCCCACACTAGGATTTTCTCCTGTGTCGTGGGTGCGTTTACAAACATGCAATATCACATACACATCACACCCAGACCCGAAACAACAATTTGTGGATCACACAAAGTGTTGTCCCGTGCGGGAATCGAACCCGCGACACGTTGCACGGCAGCCGGTTGCCCAGCCACCGCACCAACCGTGCAGTCAACTTTTTTAATCGATTTTCTTATGCTATTAAAGTTGATACGTATCATTATGTTACTATCTTTAGTTTTTTCGAAATTAAGGCATATTTCGACAAAACAGACAGTTGAGAGGAAAATTTAAATTACTTCGATTTCTTTAGTTCGATAATCCCGAACCTTTTACATTACGGTATCCAACCTGTCTACCGAGTGCACAGCAGAAGGCACATAGACAGTGGACTGTTGTTGATATAATATTGTTATGTTACTGAGATTTGTTATCACTGTACCTTCTTCTACCTTCTTCTTACTAATTTGCCAAATGTTACGGTTTGCAGTCATGCTGACAACCACAGAACTAATGATGTCGATACATTAATTTATACCATTGGCCAAGCCTTCAGAGATGGCAGTCTCTAGTGGGTAATGAGTGAGTTTTATGCGTTTGTTAGAAATTTTCATTAGTTGTTAGTTTCTTGATTAAAAGTACCTAAATAAGGATTTTTAATGATGGTTATGGATGTTTATCATCCTGTCCAAAAAATGACTCTCTAAAATCTCAACAGGACTTTTTATTTTGCATCAAATCATTGCCTTCCTTCCTTTCCAGACAATCGTCACTTCATCTCACTACATATTTCTAGGCCTGGTGTTTACCTCAACGGTAATTGTTTAATCTATAGATGTGATCGACCCAATACGACTTGAGACTACAAGTAAAACATTAAAACATTGTGAAGAACGTAATCTAGAACATTGATTCGTCATCATCACATCAGCCAGAAGACGTTCAATGCAAACGGCACGGTTGGTGCAGTGGCTGGGAAACCGGCTACCGCACATCGTGTCGCGGTTTCAATTCCCGCACGGAGCAACTCTTTGTGTGAACCACAAATCCAGAACAACAGAACCCATACAGAAAACATACAATTTCATGTGAACTTGTTTGTTTGTAAACACACCCACGACATAGCAAAAAATCATCAAAAATAATAGGAATGATGAACACAGGCTTCTCTCAATGGCGTCCAGATAGGCCAGTTGAAAGCGACCTGCAACCAGCAGCTCCCTTCGATCTTAATCAGGTCGTCCACCTTGTGGGTGCACGTCCCGCGGTGCACTTGCCGGTACATGGCTACCTAATGTAATTTAGTACTTCCTTTTTTTCCATTTCAATGCTGTAATATCAGACCCCTACAGTTCTCATTACATTGGTAATATCAAATACAATCGACTTTAGCTTTCTCTACTGTTTATTTTTTTTATAAAAAAAGATAAAACTGCGGTGTAGTCCATCAGTGAATGAAAGTTAGTTGTTTTTTATCTTTTTTCTTTTAAGATAATGAAGGGAACTGAACTGTAGGTTTGTGGTATCTTTTTGTGCGTTAGGGGCGAATGTAGATTGTGAATGAGATTTTGTAGAACAAATATTAATGGTGTTATATTTTTTTTTGTTTTAATTTTTTGGTTTTATCTTATACAAATCGATGGTAAGTAGATAGGTGTAAAGAAGTTTTTACAGTGTTTCTGTTTTTAGTTTTTTAATTATTTGTTTTGTATGTCTTCAATAATTTATGACATAATTATTGTATGCATTAATTTAGTGGAACATAACGTGAAGATAAAAATAAATGTATTTAATTGTAGTTTATGCATGCATAATGTAAGTAATTGAGTTAAAAAAACTTTTCATGCATAACTTAAAGTTGAAAGATATAATATTATTAGGGGTTCATGAATGAAACATTACGTTATAAAACAACTCTTTTATTTTCTTTTGGTGCTGAAGGACGAATAGACGAACATACATACATAAAAACATATATACAATATTTACATAGTATAACAAAGATATAGTATATTATTTTTAAATATAATATTAATTAATGACACAATATAGAACATAAATTATAATAAAACACAAAAATACATTATATCAAGATATATAAAATTCCATAGAATAGATAAAGTAACATAAATGGCTAAATATTTTATATATACATACATAAAGGCGGTTAGACGTATAGACGTGATACCATAATTAATGTAGTAAACATAAAATAAATAAACTATATAAAAATATTTACATACAAAATAAAAATAAGAAATACATTTTTTCATAAATACATAATCATGATAAAAAAGTACATATTTACATAAAATAATAAATTATTTATTTAAGTAAATTGTGGCCTTAACCTAATAATAAATAATTTCAATAAATAGCGAGTTTTGTCGATACATTTTCGTTAATTACAGACTTCGTTTCAGTGTAAATTAAAATTAAATTTACAATAGTTTACTTGAGTTATTTAGATTCATTGTTCATGAAAGACACATATGGACAAAATAATAAAATGAAATAGATACATAAAAATGAAAACAAAACGAGAAGATTAAGTAATAAATAAAAAATATCAGACTTTTAAATTAAAATAAATATCAAAATAAAAAAAAAACAATAAAAAATAAATACAAATAAACATAAACAATGAATCAACTCAACCCAATAAATAAATCATATAAATAAATTCATTTTTGGATCTCTTAGCGTCTCCTAACATTCATACTCCTACCGTACCCTGAGTGTCCGTACCCACCGACATCCTCATGAGCAGTAGAGTGAGAATGAGAGTGAGTGTAGATTGGCTTAGAGACTATTTCATAAGTGGTGGATCCTTTGCCTCCAGAGAGAGACTTGATACCGATGATGGCTGAGAGCAGAAGAGACATCATGGCGGTCATCAGGGCTTTGCCGGCGAGCAGGGCTAGGGCTCCCAATCCCATGGACATGAGGGTTCCTGTAGAAGAAGAGAGTGGTTAGATTTGAATGTCAGTGGTAAGAATTTAGGCTTTGAATTTGAAGAGGGGCACTATGATGATTTGTAACGCCATATTGATTTTTATATTAATATCAATATAACAAAATTGTGTCTGTCACATCAGAGGTGCACACAGAAGTAACACCTATCCGCCTACCACTTCGAGGATAAAAAGGCGTTATGTTATGTTAATTTAAAGTCATTTATGTGAGTGACCGGTCAATAGACATTAAATCGATAAATGTAAAATTAAACGATATAATATGTTTAAATAGACAAAAATATTATCATGTTCAACGTGTTGTTCATTGTTCAACATGCTATTAAACACATCATAAAAGATTTGATACACTCGCTAAGAAATGTAGCAAATAATTAGCATAACAAAGAAGAACGAATTGAAAACCCGTATAATAAATTACGTACGCTCATTAAACAGATTGTCTACAACTTTTTACTTAAATTACAAAGTAAAAGTTAAAAACTAGCAGTAGATATGTCTCAAATGACAACCAACAATTTTCTCAGTTCATGCTCTGTTTGTCAACAGCACAACAATTTAAAAAAAATTGAACAAGTACAAACTCCTGACAATGCTTTCGAAGTAATTACATACGAATTGATTGTAGATAAGACTAATGTGGCAGATTGAATCACTTGTTCCGTTGGTGTAAAGTTGGCTTTGACATTATTGTATTTTTTATCTGAAGTTACAAATCCTGCATTGTGACTTTGGTTTAAGTAATTATTATTTTACTTCAAGAATTAAAAATAACTGCCTGGCCGGACGGTCACGAGACTGCTGGGCAAAGGGTTCGATTCCCGGGTCGGATAAAGTAATACTGAGTAGCACGAAGTCACCCCCTATTACATTCCCAACGATCCTCAAACTCCTAATGCCCAAAAGACCGGTAACGCATTTGTAACGCCTCTGGTGTTCCAGGTGTCCATAGGCGACGCCGATTGCTTACCATCAGATGATCCGTCTGCTTGTTTACCGGCTTATGCCATAAAAAAAACATGGGACTCATAACATAAATAGTGAAAAGTGGGAGTTACATTGTACAGTGGCAATATGTGCCGTAATGTGCACCTCTTCCTACCCCTTGGGGATAAAAGGCGTGATGTTATGTTATGTTGTTAATTATTAATAAGTTTTTTGCAAATGTTCTGTTAAAGCCATTACTGTACGTATTATTGTTTTAAAAGCGCACTAGTTGCGCGCGTTTCCTACGACGGCGTCCAATTGTTATATCCATACGCAAGTACAGCTTTTGTTCAATTGTGGCTGTCTTGTACCTGTAAGCCTTTTAATTTCCACTAGATTAAGGGTTCTTCCATGAGAAAACATTAAAAAGATAATTTCGTACCAAATTTTGAGGCACAAATTAGTACGATATATGTACTTAGGTTGTAAAATTAAGAAGTATAACGTCCTTCAGACTACACACCAGGACATGTCATAGCTTGTGTTCTTCTACGATCACTACTGAATGATATAATAGTCCATATAGCTGTAACTAATGATAATGTTGCCGGTGACACAGTCTGATCAAAATCATTTCCATCAACTACCATAATTATGACAGTTTTCTTCTTTCTAGTACTAGGTATATGGCGAGAAATCTATGTGTTTGTTTGTTTTATAAGCAAGATCGACAAAAATTGCCACAGATTATTTTGTGGTACAAGTGTCATTTACGTCAGTCATGAAAACTAATAGTGTAAGTCTCATTGACTTTCAAAAAGTGTGTTCTTTTTCGGATTTACTTAAATTTTATAGTTTTTGGTTTATTGACAGTCCATGTTCTTATTTAAATAGATGTAGCCTCAGCAAATAGCTTTATGGATCCATCCAATACTCATATAACAGTTTTTTGCTTCCATTGAAAGTAATCTTAAGCAAATTAGATTTTCTGATAAAAAATTGGACGGCTCTATTTCTTTGATGAAATAGCTTACGTAACTGGTTCAATACATTTGTAATTGTATATCGAGTAGTTGGAAGAAAAAATATGATTCCATTGAAGAACGAAATAGTCATTGACATGGAATGTTTCCAATTTGTAATTATAATGAGCAGGATCAAATCACTACCGAAGCTTTAGAATTCTAACTTTTGGTCCAAGTAGTACGATATTTTGTTATATAAAATTACTTTCATTCGTACATTGAGGCTACAATTATTTTGATCATACAAAACTAGATTGCAAATAGTAAATGGAGATGTAATTAAAATATCTCACTGCTTTGTCACTGATTGCAGTAACTGTCAATCAAACAAAAAAATAGCTAGACTCTGATCTACATACTTTAGTAAAATTGCTTTACTATAGTAAAATGCTGTCTGTAAATTATTATCGAACTTAAGACACAGATATTCCCTTGCAGTGACTTTTGTCAGTTTATCATCTGCATAGTGCCCTTAATTATATTGTCAATTATGCCACTGATGCGTTGGATCAATTTTCAATTACATTATTAAGTGTGCCACTGACCCGATGGAAACAAAGAGCAATTATTTATAAATCACTTCTTCATTTCCTTTTGACTTTCTTATACGTATATCAGATGTCATCTGCCTTCATTTAGATCGCAAAAAGCGCTAATGTATATTGATTTCCTCCAACTGTTACTGTCGTATCTAAAAGTAGGTCGTTGATGATTTATTTTAGATCAATTGTATGCACGCTAAAATGTTCATTAATAGTGTCGCAAAGATTTTTATCTACCTCATCTTCCCCATCAATATTCACTTCACTACTAACATACCTTTCATCAACAATCCAGCGGCTAACAATCCACCCATTCCTCCTTTCTTTCCCCCAAGTCCACCTTTACCCCTCGCCTCTCCAACCAAAGCTCTGGCCTCCTCAGCAGCATTCTCATCTAACAGCCTCAGCTTCACAGTATGTGTGTCCAAATAGTTTCCAAGTCTGTACAGCAGATATTTGTCCAGTCTCTCATCTGGCTTCGAAGGGAACGACCTGGCTAGTTCAGCTGCAAACTCTTCAACCTTGCTCCCATTTTCTTTGCTATCTTCTTTCACAACGCTGACTCCAGGAAGAAGACGAAGCTCTTCTTTCGCACTGAGCTTCTCAAGCATCGAGATGGCTTCAATCTTCAAACATGTTGGACTGAAAATTCCACTAGTGCAATCCTTCTTCATCGCCCTCGCCGTACTTTCGACATTCGGTTCCACTAAATTCTTTGGAGATTCCCCTATTTCTGGGTTTGGCAGTGCGTACACTGCTGATATAAAAAACAATATCGATATGAGATACATTGTGGACGTCTGTATCGGAACGAATGCTGATACACTTTGATAAGCAATTGTTTCGTCCACCTTTTATATGTCTCACATAGATGTATGATTAGTACGGAGTACTCTTATATCCATTATATTTTCATAGAAGGCTGACTGCAAAAAGTTCAATTTCCTCAATGTGAAATAGACACTGTCCTCCAAGTTATATGGTCGGTTTTAGATTGCTGGTTCGGTAGGCGTAAGGTTTTCGTTTATTATCGCATGCAGTCATTGGAGTAGGCGACCAATGTAAATGTATAGTAATTGTATGGGTTTTTAATATTCTAACTACTTTATTACAATTCAGATTTTTATTTTTGATCTTTATGAGAATCAAAATATGTATCAGTGTATGTAAATCTACACATCAATCTTTAAAATGATATTATGAATCTAAATTCTATAGGGAGTAAAGTCGTATTATTTTCTATTTGAGAGTTAAATTTCCTTAAGTTCCATCCTAAGCCCTTACAATAATAGATATTATTTTACAACTAAGGCAATTCATTTCTCATTCTAACCCACTTCGTATTATCAGCAAAAATCTGAATTCAATACCATAAAATTTTGATCATCATCAGTTTCTGAATTTCAACCGTCTTAACTAATACATAGTTTCTTTTTCATAATTGCATGTGAAGAATATCTAAAACTAAACTGAAAGTCAGTCTAGACTTTTTTCACTTTTATTTTAGACTAAAAATCATCGCGTGAAAATTAGCAATGTTATTAATATGGCCAACTGAACTGAATGTGCTTGTTCCATGAATGGAGGCTCTGTGGTCTTACGGTATTCGAATTCAGTGTTCAGGATATATCGTTTAATAGTTTCATGAATTAAAATTGTCTGTTAAAAGTTACGAGTTTAATGTGTTTTATACCGGGAGCCGGTGTTTCAACAGATAATTACAAAAAAACTATATACCTATCTATTGTGATTATTTTTTGATCCATTCATTCGCATCTGGTTTGTTCACTTGTAGAATTGATTTCCTGGAAGCTTCTCATGTTCATCAATTGACAGTTGGTATGCGTTGTATGTATATCTTTTGTAAGAAAAAAAAAACACTCCTTGTACCAAGATATCAAAGGGTTTGATCTATATTTTAAAGTAGTACTTGTAAATTACTTGAGCATCTTCTTATCATCATTTTTATTGCCATTGTTCGTGAACGATTTGTATTTTCAGGTCTCTTCATCACCATAAACATAAAAATATCCTATAATCACTCTCATAAAGTCGATTTTCCATTCGACTTCATATGCTATGAAGTACCACTCATTAAAAGACACCATCTCCACAGACACAGTCGTTGGAGAAATTCTTCACTTTCTTATAAAATCTTCATGATCAGGACCTTATGGGTTAGGGCAGAACTATCAGAGCGTGTAAAATGATTTGTTCAGATAACATCGCTCAACAAAATGGCTGCTCACGGTCGTGTGCCTTCTAACTTACCTTTTATATTAAAGTTAATATCAATGATTTTGGTGTATATTATGATTTTGTGTTGGGGTTTGAAATGTTTAGATAGCAGTTTGATGTTCAAAAAATTAATAGTAGGATAAAGGATGACAATTAGCTAAATATTGATGAGCATGAAGAAAATGAGTGAATCTGCGGTATTTCTTCCATACATTTGTTAATCTAATTAAGTTAACGTTTAAATATATTTCTTTCTAATCAACTTACGTTTTTACGTGAGTACATTCTTCATTGGAAACTTTTGAAGACTTGCTTATTTTTTAATATCGTGTTCTTACCAAACTTTGTTAAAAGAATCAAGATATCATCTTCAATCTTCAGAACAAAGTCGAGGAAAAGCAGTACCGATCTAATAAACTTGTATAAGAAGTAGTTCAATTTTATTTGGTATATTTACGAACACAATAGCGAGAGATTTGTAGATTGTTTTTTAATAATGATTCGATTTGTATTATTATCATGTTAATGACGATGGGAAATATTGTGTGTCTAATAAGTTGCTTTACTTGTTGTAATCTTAGACAAATCCAATTTCGGAGACTTTGAATTGATTTTAAGGCTTTGATTGCCGACAGAAAACTGTTGAAGGTAAATCCTCCGCTAGAGTGGCCCATACGTTGTCCCCCATGGCGTTTAGGGTGTTAAGTGAAAAATTTTTTTTTTTTAAATTATGCTTATGTAACATTTTTATATCATGTTATTAACTCGTCGAGTACCGGTTTTGTAGACACAATTATAGAACAATAGGTTGCGGTCACCGGTGACCGCTTGGTGTTTGACAGTTTAATACGAGCATGATAAAAAAATATATATTTTAGCTGCATTCAAAATCATAACACAAAGTTTTATTGAGGTTTTAGGCGTAGTTTAATCATCAATATTACTGGGTTTTAAAAATAATTCTCAGTAGTAGCACGGAGTCTAGAATTCTGTCCAGTATATGGCAATAGGCTCACCCTCTATTACATGGGATTCATAACATAAATAGTGAAAAGTGGGTGTTACATTGTACAGTGGCATTAAATGCCGTAATGTGCACCTCTGCCAACTCTTTCGGAGATAAAAGGCGTGATGTTATGTTCATGATTTTTTTCGACTCCTTCTTTATCAACAGAAGTTTATTATAGTAACAAAAACGACTTACCCTTCATCATCATTCCCATAGCGAGCAGACCTCCCATACCGCCCTTCTTGCCACCAAGACCCATGCCCCCTTTTCCTCTGCCTTCAGCTATAGCAGTTTTCGCTTCTTCTACAGCATTGTCATCAAGCAGACGCAGTTTCACTGAATGACTGTCCAGGAAACTGCCAATATGGTACAGGAGCGACTTGTCCAGTCGGTCATCGGAGTCAGTTGATAAAGACCTTGCCAGATCCGCAGCAACAGCTTCGTAGTTAGTTTTAGAACCATCCTTCACAAGACTAACACCAGGAATTAAAGACACTTCGTCCTTATTGTTTAGTTTCTCCAGCAACGTGATAGCTCCCATTTTTAAACACCCAGGACTCAAGAGTCCATTAGCACAGTCCTTTTTAATTCCACGAACTTTATCCACTGCACCATCGTCACCAGGGTTGGGGAGAGCCACTGCACTGGCTACGGTGATCAAAACGATATACTTGTACATTTTTAATGGTAACACGTCCACTTTGGTCAGACCACACTGAAACTATGTTCATCTTGCATATTGTCACCCTTTTATATTTGATGTTTGTGGTCAGCCAGATGATTGCTCCCAGTTTGCGTGTGGTTCTCATTCTGTATCTGGTTAGCTTTTTTTGCAGCCCAAAAATCATCTTCTGAATCTATATCAACTTTAAGACTAAAGCCACAAGCCTCAATTTCAACTGCATGACTATCCGTTTTGATTTATCTAACTGCAAAATTAAAATGGCTTTTGTCAGTTTTTGGTAGGGCAGTTAGCAAAAGTTAGTACCATTTGTAAGCATTTTTGATGCGGATTAGTTCCGTATGCGTTAAGTACGATGGTCGTTTTTTGCTTGGCGGTTTTTTGCAAGTGCATTGTTTCGTTTGGTCTGATGTACGAGTGAATGCAAAAAATAACACTAGCGAATAGCAGAGTGTGAGCAGCGTTAATTTTGTTTTATTTTCAGATGATTCAGGCTAGATTATAATTTGTAATTTCTAACTATGTATGATGCTTTTTTAAGTCAAGAATTAAGACTAATCACTGCATTCTGCTTAGTCAGGGTGTAGTTTCACTGATATACTGTGCGACAGGTGCGTTTTTAATTCATATGGTTTATAGTTTTGTAACATACTCTGACCTGAGTGAACTTTCATGAAATTTATAACTATGAAAGAATTTAATCAATAATAATGTATAACCAGTACCATTTGAATCTCTTACAGTTTAATACAATATATAAGTTCCACTACAGCACAAATTAAGTAGATCGTTTTGCACGCGGTAAACCAATACGTAGAATAATATTACAATTGAAGCCTTCATATGTAATGCCTAATTACAATTACTTAAAATACTTAATTATAAAAATATTGTTCACATTAGTTTATTCTCAAGAAAATAAGAAAAGATTACTCAAGCTTTACTTGACGTATACATGTATATTGTACGTGTTAGTAAATTCTGAAGAAACTACATAATGACTTTAGCAACAAATAGCGATTTGATATCGAATACTTTAAAACAATTAAAACTTAATAACTTAACTTAATCGAACCTGAGACTACACTTGAAGCAAGTCAATAAAAGAATTAGTATTTTTTAAATATAATCATGTTTGAGTAAATCGCTGCTTCACTATATTTCGTGTATTCTATTCAGAAAAAGACATAGTAACATAACACAATATCACGCCTTTTATCCCTGAAGGGATAGGCAGATGTGCACATTACAGCACTGAATGCAACAATGCGTACAATGTAACACCCACTTTTCACTATTTATGTTATGACTCCCATGTAATAGGGGGTGAGCTCATTGTCATATACCGGCCACAATTCCAGACTTCGTGCTACAACTGAGATTTTTCTTAAAAACCCTGATAAAATTAAAACTTAAAAACTCGACCAACTCAGCAGCCAAAAATAAAAATATAAAATTATAAAAATAAGAGCCGACCAGTAGCGGGAGCATGGTCCAAGCTACCGGTGGTTAGGGCCCCAGAGACAGAAACATTCTCACGATACATGCCGTTTCTAGAAAAACTGCCTTCTGTGTCAAGCCTTTGGTCCATCTACCTAACACCAGCACCCTAATAATCATACGCATACACAGTTACGTTCACGTTACATTTTACAGTGCCTATAAGCGCCGTAATGTGCACATCTGCCTACCCCTTCAGGAATAAAAGGCGTGATGTTATATATGTGTTATGTACTTATTTTTTTAGATTTTCTTTTAAGTAGTATTTAAAAATGTAATATGGAGAGAATTTTAAATAAATATATGGAGCTATACTTCATATCAATAACTAATAACACGTGTAGCTACAGCAATAATAATAATAATGCATCGTTACTAACGAAT